GTACTATTGAGCAATGTTTACAGTTTTAAGAGGTTAAATCACTGGCTGTTTTTGTCAATGGTGTGAGGGGGTAACAAGGGGCAGAAACGTATAGTCTACTTATGACAGTGAATTCTGCATATTTTTTAAACTGTGGAACAGAATTGAGAGTACCTGGAAAGAACCCATGTACACATAGGGAGAACATGGGGGATCAGAACATGTTTTGCTGCAAGGGAGTGGTTCCCCTACTTTTTTTTTACAGCCCTCCGACCCCTTTCTTTTGGTAGGATTATTATCAAGTGACCCCTCTGCTAAGTAGGTTGTATGCCCTCCCCAGGTAGATGGTAAAAGCTGAAGTGTGAAGTCATCTGGCTCGAAAAAGTAGCCTATAGATTTATGGACCATTTGAGTTCATGTAAAACATTCTCATTGAACAAATTAATTCAATGACAAATCAATGCATTTACCCTCTCACAATGAAAATATTAAAATTGATTTTCCTTTGGCCTGATCCACCCACCCGGTAATCGCTCTGCGCTTCCCAAAGGTGGGTCCACCCCTCACTTTGGGAACCACTGCTGAAGGTCTTTTTAAATCAGTTTAATTGAATCTGCTTTGAAACTCACTGTTGTTTTTGAGTTTCCAGCGATGATCTGCGTGCAGGTATGTGTCCCGCAAATACCCTTAAGGAAGTGGAGTTGTGTCTGGAAGGTTGCAGGTTCGAATCCATCAGTCATCAGGTGCCACTGAGGTGCACTGAGCAGGGCACCGTATCCACACACTGCAGCTTGAGCCACCCTCTGCTCTCTAAGGTGATGGGGTTAAAGGCAGAGGACAGATTTCATTGTGCGGTGGTTTGCTTACCTTTGCACCCCTCAGCTTAGGAACCCCTGCTGTAAGAAAAGGAAGATGAATCGCCTTTATATATTTACATACAGCCTTTTACACAATATCATTGTAGTAAGAATAATTAAGAAATATATAACACTTAGGTCAGAGGTCACCAAGTATATCAAAGGGCCCTAATCACCTTTAGGGCTGGACACTCAGATGAAATGAAACAAAAATCACATTTCTGTCTGACATTATTATTTGATGTATTTTGGAATCCAGGTGAGGGCCAGATTGCAGATTGTTTCTATGGGCTGATCAGTTGATGATCAATGACTCGGATGGACAGAGGATAAAACGTCACATTTGCATCATGACTCCGTTGACATGGTTGCTCATCAGTATCTATTTGAAAGTTGACACTAATGTCAATTGTGATTTTCCCTTTACTCTTTTGTCAAACTGCTGTGTTGCAAAATAGCCCCAAAACAGACTGCTCTACGAGTGTGTGTCAAGACACAATTCATGCCTTAATAATCTGAAAGATTTACAGGCAATGCATTTTCAGTAACTCCCCTGCACAGCGTGCCCACATACACACACACACACACATTTTAGACTCTTAATGAGGCAGAGCAGATGGTTTTACACAGAACAACCTGACCACTCTGCACTGAACACACTCTTCGTAGGGGGCACAGACTAGAACACACACTCACAAACAAGTCCCACCTGTTCTCTCATTAGTGGACACCGCACTCTGTGCCATGATTATCACACGGCGACGTCCATGACTAAGACTTGCCTCTCATGACGGCCCTGTCCCCTATCGTGTGACAGCTGGATTAGAGAAAAGGCCGATGTTTCCCTAATGTTATGTTTGGCTGCTCCATAAAGGGCACAGATACCTGCGGTCTCACATGTTCAGCCTCTGGTCATGTTTCTGTGTCGTCCAAATTACAAAGACAGACACAGCCCTGCACTGTGGGACAAAGCTATTAGAGGATCATCCAGGTGCTTTGAGACATAGCAAGGAATTTGTTAACAAAGCATTCATGACTTTAATCATGCGTTCACCTTTTACCACTTAATACACTTCTCTGGGATGTAGAAACCTGGAGGCAAACCCAGCATTCATTGGACCAGAAGAGTCCACCAGTTCACTACAGGGCCACGCAGAAGATGGAATCGCATACGGCAGTACAGGAAATTGAACCAGCAACCCTCTTGTAATAAGTAAAGAATGTTTATCATTTAAACATCAGGGTTTGTAAAGTTAAGTAAACGCAGTTTTGTTTAATGGAGGAAAATTGTCATGAATTAGAGACCATTCCTTTTGGTCTCCTACAGCTTGATAAAAAACAAACAAAAAAACAAAACAAAACAAGGGAATATTGGTCTTTGGGCTACAGGCTACATGCTTGTTTCAATCTTTTTGATTTGGAATATTTTCAAAAGGTGGTCATTGCCCATTCATCACATGCATACATATTATTTACTGCCTAAAACAAGGTCTCAGGGAGGGGAAATTGTTCAGTCAATCCAACAATGATTTCCTGAAAAAACACAAACTAGCCAAAAGATAATTAAATGTCAATTTAGAAATAACTAAAATTAAAAAGTGCAAATGTGCAAAAATATAAAACAAATCCACCAAAAAAGCCAAACAATGAACAAAAAAACAAATAGTGACCTTTCTACCCAAACGTTACTAACACTAAGATGTATTCTGACACACGGCCAAAAATTGCCCCTAATCCGGAGGTTTGGCCACGTCAGATTCACTGTATACACAGTATATAAATATTGTATAAAACCCATATAAGTGCACACAGGTGTTTGCAATTATTGCAAAATAAAATCACAGGCCTACCTTTCTTTATCTATCAGTGTGTGTGTGTGTGTGTGTGTATGTGTCAGTACCTTCAGGCTGGTTCAGTCAAACCCTGGACTGGAATCCCAGTCAACCACACAGGGGGGATTTCCACGTGCCTCAGTCGTCTTGTGTGAAACGTACAATTGTGCGTCATCCCATCGCTGCATCCGCCAGTGCTCCTCACTTCCCCGTGGCTATGGGGCAAAATCAAGTTTGACTCACACTTATCTTATCAATTTATGCCATCATGGAGTCTGGCTTTGAAGTTAAGGCTGGACTTCACTGCCACCCAGTGGCAACAACCACAGGTGGTAATTACAATTAAAGAGGCGAAGGGGTTACGGGGAGTTCATGATAATGAGGGGAAAAATACAGAATCATCCATCTCTTCTTTTATATCATCTCCACTAACCAGGTGTCAGCTGTGAACACAGCCTGTTCACATTTCACCGGGGAAGTCCAAAACATCTTTAAACCCTCACCTGCTGCTGAGGAAAGAGAGTGTGCGGAGAAGTCACCTGACTGTAAACAAGCAGTGAATGTTTGACGCCACCTCAGCCTGTAAAAGTTCAGATTGCAACCGCGAGAAGTGTGTACATAATTAAAAGCAATAATACAATGATAAATCCTGCCTGTGTAGAAGAGGAGTGTTGTAGTAAACAGCTAAATAGAATTGTATGAATCGTACACATTGGGTTTATTTATTAGCTATACCTGATAACAGAGAAGTTGGAAATACTTTTTACTTAATTTGAAGAGCTCATAAATGGGGTGAAGGCAAGATCGATGGGAAGCTTGAGAACTACAGAGGCATAAAGGTTATCTTTGATAACATAAATATTTCAGAAAGAGTTGTTAAAGCCAGGTTCAGGAGATAGAGATTTTAATTGGTACTTTGTATGAGAGAAGGAAAGAGAAATCTAACAAAAAAAAAACTACAATGGTACGGTGTAAGGGGCGGCAGAAAAGTATGTGAAAGTGGTGCAAGACATGTATAAGGGCACCAAAGCAGTTTTGTTACATGCACTGACTGAAAGAATGGGCTCTGAGTGATGTTCATGCTGACAGAGAGACAGGCAGGTCAGGCAGGAGGCTCTGTGGACCATGATGTTCTCTGATTAGGTGAGAGCAGGGAGCAGGTGGAGAAGAGAACACTGATGATGAGGTCTGCACTGGAGAGATGGATGAGAAATTATAGAAGACAATATATATATATATGTGTGTGTGTGTGTGTGTGTGAGAGAGAGAGAGAGAGAGAGAGAAAGAGAGAGAATTAAAGGCATGTGAAAGAAACTGAAGATCAGAGAAACACAAGAAGTGAAGGTGAATGACTTTGAATAGTTGTGGTCAACCATCCATTACAACACGGTGGATGTGAGAGGAAGCGGGTGCAGAGGAGGTGGAGTCGGGGGAGATGAGGGTGAGGAAGGTAGTGATAGTAACAGATGTGAAATGTGAGGTTTATACCTGATCACTTGTTTTTATTTATTTTTTATTATTTAGCATATGAAGTTACTGCCTTTACAGTTATTAGGAACAAAACTGAAGGATGTCAAAGATGAAGTCAAACAAACGCGAATTAAAAAAAGAACACTTTCACAGACGGGCTTTATACTCCTCATAAACTAAACTACCAAACTAGATCAGACACAACAAGTCTTCCACAACAAGTTCAAGCTGCAAAATAGGCTACGAGCGAGGATGGAATAAAAAAAACATGTTTAGATTAAAATAGTTGAGCTGCCACACATTTTAAAAGCAAGCGAAAACCACGCAATCATCTTCAAATTTAGTCTAATTCTCTGGTCGGGTCTAACAAACGAAACAAGTTCAAGTCGTAAAGGTGACACCGGAGGAATTGAAGAGTTCTTTTTACAGACGATGGGATGGAAGAACAGAACCAATGTGATTGGTTGAGGGTAGTATTTGTCTGCCAGCCTTTGGCTCATAAAAAGCATTATACAGGATCATAAACACATTATAAGCACTGCAGTGTCTGCTTAGTGTCAAGACATCAAACAATCGCGGGGCTGAGGCCTTTATGAGGTTTCTGTTACGGTTACTTCGTGACTAATATGATTTCTTTTTATATATACCTTCTGATTATGTTGTAATAAATATGCCGCATTCTGTTCTTAGTGAATGGGAGAACACTTTAATATGATGCCAAACAGTGCCAACTCGTAAATGCACTCCTGCGGATTGTTAACAGTCTATTTGGTATTAACTTTTTTTTGCATGTACCGTTATTTTAAACAAACAAAAAAACATCTGTGGTACTTTTATGGACTTGCCGTTATTTTAAACAAACAAAAAAACATTACGTCTAGACATCTGTGGTACTTTTATGGACTTTTTTTCCCTAGAAAGTATTCTTTGCTACAGATGAGTCCTTGCTAATGCATACTGTATATGGTAACACACTTGGTAAATATTAGGGAATAAGATCAATTTATACAGTAATAGCATAGAAACCCATGAATCACATGGGTATGATCCACATATACTGTTACTAATGTGGTTGTTTGTTATTGTAGGCTGTAGTCTCTCTCTAAGAGACAACAAATAATCATACGTTAATTGAGTTGTTTTTTCTTTTCTTTTTTGTTCTACAGGCAGCACTGAACTTTTCACAAACCCTAACCTGGGACATGGGTCTGAAAGTTTTACAAAAAGGTCAATGAATATGATGAAAATGATTTCAAGTTCAATCGCATAAAATATTCACATTAAAATTGATCAAATACAGAATCAATATGCCCTTATCAAAATCAGTACATGTGATGTGGCCTTTTACATTAAAGTTTTAAGTAGTAAAAAACAGCTCCTTGTACGATATGCAGTGTGCAGCAGTTAAGCAGGAAAACTAACAGAACAGCATGTAAGCATGGCTAAAAGCTGTAAATCATGTTATATCCAACACATCCAACAACACATTACATCCAACTTAAAAAAACAGAAACATCACTGATTGTTGACTAAAGAATTGTCCTCTTAAAACAACTCTCGGTTCAATTCCTTTGTTTTATACTGTTCAAACGGATAAAAAAAAAAAAAAAACAACACTCTCATTTTGATCGGTTTACAGCAGAGATATTTAAAGGCACATTCTGCAATTTCTCCAATTGCATTATTGACTCGTGAAAGAAACACAGTCTTACAGAGATAGAGATGTTGCAACATGCATCACCTGCAGGTGAAGAGTTGGATGTTGTGCAGAGTTGCAGTGTAGGTGCTCACATTCACTACTTAGCACATGCATCCATGAATAGTCGCAGTACTTTTTCATTTCATTCATTGCCCTCGACGAAGGCATAACGATGAAGCAAATTCTGATGTGTTGCTGGACCAGCAATTTGGTTTGGTTTACGATTCTTTAGTTTCTTAAAAATAAAAATTTGCACCAGCATTTTCAAATAATGTATGTGCTGCCTGTGAAACATTCACAGTTTTTGGTAGATATGGAAAAAAAAAATCTCATTTTCTGTTCTTCATATCACCTATAGGTGGTGCACATTGGCACAGGATGATGAGGATGACTGTCTTTAAGGTTTTGCAGTTAAAAATAACACCTGAATATTAAAAGCTTTTTCAGCACTTGGGTCTTGTCCATTCAGAGTTAGCAACCTTAACCCAACAAGACTAACTTGGAAATCTTGCCGATTGTGCCTTTAAACGTCTCACGGGATGCATAATGTACAAATGCATCGCTGTCCACAGTCCGTTTACTTCTTCTCCATCTTCAGTGATTCTACCACACTCCACAGTTCCTTGGCCACCTGAGGAAGGTGTGCAGAGAGGAGCCAGGGGTAGAAGTGGGGGGAAAAAGGAGGGAAAAATATGAATTAGCCAAATGAAGTGTTATACAGTATGAGACATATGAGTCACTTTTTACTACATCGTAGGCTTTCTGTGCGTCTCGCCTGTGGGAACGGCGAGTTTAGATGGGGCCGTTGGGGAGCGACGAAGGGTTGGGTGGGGGCAGCAGCACATACCAGAGTATATGACTAGGTGCTCCAGGTCTGACAGATCTCAGGCTTGGCTGATGAAACCAAAGCACTTCCACAGATGTTTCTACACACTGGGATCAACATGCTCCCCCCTCAACTTCGGCCCCCCGCCCCCATTCTTCTCCTAACTGCTGCCCTAACTGCACTCTGAAGACATTTCACCTGCTCCAATAATTGTACTGTGGACATTTTAACGCTTTCTTTTCATTCGTTATTGTTTCACTAAAAACACTGGACAGCTACATTTAGCTTAATTTATCTTTTATTCAGTTCATAGTAATAACAAGCTCGATGGGTTTATTTTTTGGGGGGTGATTAATTCGTGGTCTGCCAACCAACACACACCAGCCCTTGTTTATCTTCTGAAATGACAAGTAGTATTAGAAAAGATTTAAAGTCCTGCTTTTAGAAAGACCCAGTGTTGGGGTTTGGTCAAAGGCCTTGAATGTGAAAGAGGCTGGTACCATCCACATACCACCATCCCTTCATTAGGGCTACAAAAGACACACACTTCAGTAAATCACCAAGAAAGAGTTCTTCTTGGCAGGTGTACTCCCATTCCATCTCAAAAGAGCCCGCTGACACAAAATGAATATAATTCAAAAGGGAACACACTGTGCTGGAGAGACTTTTGAGGCCTACTGGACAGTGTAAGGTCAGCGAGGACAGCGTTAGGAACCATCATGCAACACTACTATCAACTACACCAATGAGATTTTTACACTGAAAACCTTAAAAAAGTTGATAAAATACAACTGCTGGTTTTCTTTTTTGGTTTATAATTATGTATTTTTTAATGATGCTTTTGTGCCTGCACACTAGAAATGCTGCTCACCAATTTAACATCTAACATCTAACTAGATGCTAGTATGTTAATCTCTGCAAGTAATGCAACATCACGTGTCAATGTCAGCACACTTTGGTTTAAAAAAATTCTAGACAATTCAACATACGACCCTTACTTTCCTCCTAAAACAGCTGTTGTAGCAATTAATGCCTCTGTTCCAGTACATGAAGCGCTAGCTGTAAGTAAATTTGGCTACCTGCTTTTACAGACACCCAAAAAGAATTGTGGTATGCAATTTTACTGTTAGCAAGCAAGTAGAACTGTTTTCCTGGGAGCAGTAATAGGACACTGGGCCATCTGTGGAGCAGCATAGTCTGGGTTGGTGGGATCCAAGCGACCTGAAACACACTGCTATTTCACTTAGTAACTTGCTGGCTAATAATGCATCTGAGGAGCATAACTGAGCATGCCTGCTCACTCACTTTGGCACAAAGCTCCAGCGGTCACCCAACCAGGAGAAGGAAAAACACTGGTTTTCTGAATATCTTTGAAGGTCTGGCATGCCACGTAAATTTGTTTGCACATGAATTTTTGGGGAAAATGATAGCTCTACTACTTATTCAATTTAATTTTCTTCTCTGGATAAATAGCCTGACAGAGAAACATCTGTGTCTGCGCTGGTGAGTTTGATCTTATTGGCCACAGGAGAATATAGGCTGACAGAAAGGGGAGTTTATTCGCATAATTATGTGAACCCTTTGTTACAAAAAGAACACAACCTGGGAGTGTGCATTGTTATATGATGTCTGGGTCGCAAACAAAGAATAAATGAATACCTTTAACAATCTGTGAAGAGGAATCATGACCACTTACTTCCTTGTCTGTGATTTTAAAACAATTCCTGACGTAATTCTCAAACTTCTGCTCAGTCTTCGGCAAAGGCTTCCCCTGCAAAACAAGGCCATTAAATCATCAGCCCGACTGAGAACAGAGATTCAATTAAAGAGCAGTAATTTGCAAACCAGGATGACAGCCTCACCTCCTTTGCTGCTGTCGACAACTTGGTCTTAATCTCATCCAGAGAGGGGATTTTAGACGGGCCAGGCTGGGGTTTGTCTTTTCCCGGGGCAGGTGTCTTGGGAAATATATCAGCCAGATAAGAAACACTGATTGATGCGTCAATAAGGAGAGATTTATAGCATTGTAGATAATGAGATAGCTCCATATGGTTTCCTCTTCTACAGCTAGAACCTTTAGGATTGCTGTGTTCTCATTTGAGCAAACTGTGAAATCTATTGATACTTCAATTAAAACAAGATTTGTTTTTTTCTTTTTTGCTGACAGCAACACAACAACCCTCACAACACGTTTCCATTTATTTGGGTCTGTGTTTACAGACTTGGCTCTCACAACCAGCTGGATCAAGATGAAAGCAATAAAGTGGACAAATTCTAGCCTCATTACACCATCTTTGTTTTTTGTTTTGAATAATACATCAGGTACAAATTATGCTTTTTTATTGATTTGTGCTAGAAAGGGAAAGCCCAGACTCTCCGTCAAGCAGTAGAGATTGTTTATCAAACGGGTTTTTCCACTGAAGGTGATTCCTCAAAGCGAAGGGATCGTCTTTATGTGCAGGTGTTCTTGTTTTGTTTTGTTTTTTCAATAAATCCGATCAATGCAAGCTGATACAGTAGATGGTTTGACAATGGTTAGTTCGACAAACTCAAAATCTTTTTCTTTTACCTTGGAGGTCATTTAAAAAAGGAGAACATTGGTAGTCCTCCCCCCGGTTTTCCAAAACAGGGCAGGAGAGGCTCCCTAGGTCCTTGATTAGTAAGTGTGCGAATGTGACACAACAAGACTCACACAAGCCATACACCATGACTGCATGTTACACAAGCCCTGGAGCTTGTCCCTACATGCAAAGCCAGTGTGGAATCCAGAGAAATTGCAGGGTTTCATTGATAGCCAGAGACACATTTAAGAGAAGAGAGGAGAACTCTTGGACATATTGAGTCGAAAACATTAGGTTTGTCGCTGAGGGTTCACATTCTGTTCAGTCATTTAAAAAAACAAAAACCGGCTCCCGTAGACATCCGTTTGCTAGGTTTAACCTTTTTTTTTTTTATCGCCCTTAAGATGGCCCATCTGGAAGCTATTTCATACTTCCAAAAATATTAAAGCCCCCCAAAAAAGCCATATTTAGGGGCATGGTTACCAGCTTTAATGTATCAGAGATCTCCAGGGGAACATCATAAGCAGGTTCCACCTCTGTCTTTGAAAGTGAATGGAGTTAACTGGTGGACCTAGAAAGTACAATGTGGTGGCTTCCTGAATGAGTCTTTAAGAGCAACAGCAGGCAGTCGATGGGAGGTTTGGCGATTGGTTCACATCGAATGGTTCTTTATAGGCAAGTATAAAAAAAAGTTGCCATTTTCTACTTGGTTTAGCTGTAAGGCTAATTACTTTAATGTAATTTATAGTCAACAAAATAAGGCTAACATAGAAGGAGGGTGGTGGTGTATTATTCAACATGTTGAAGTCTCATACATCAAACCTGTAAATGCCAATGTTAGTACAATGTGTCACCATGGGTTTCACATCAGTGAAAACTTTTCCAGGTTTTACTTTAAGGTGGTGAGAAAAACCCTCACACCTCAGAAGAACAGTAAAAAAATGTCTTTTTGGAGAGATGAAAAGAAAAGCATTTAACTCAATCCATGCTGGAACTGTTGCTAGTAGTAAACCAGTGATAATTGGCCAGGTTTTATGCTGGGATCAAATATTCACGCAACCATTGCACGTTTTTTCAGTTTTTCGCCAATCTGTGTCACCGTCTCGGTGGAAGCAGAAGTACTCAGGGTCAACAATCTTTGTAATTAAAACACAGACTTATATATGTTATAACGTCTACTGTATCTGCTGTAAAACCTCTAGTCCTGGACACAGAGATTAATAAAGAAGGAAACATTTTCTACAACTCCAACCCTGTTTCTACTACAAACCCAAATTCCCTTCTGCAGGTTCTGGCATCAGAGAGAAGGACAATAGTTAAAAACAGGTGGAATGATCTTAAGAGAATAAAGTTAGTTTTAAAACATGCAATAATATGTCCCTGTCCCTCAGAGAGCTGCAGTTTATAGCACAGATCAAAAGGTATGAAGTGAGAAAGCCTTTGACACACATGCCACACTGCACAAACGAGCACATAAGCCGCTGGCTCCTGGCCAGACAAATGCAGCGAGCGTTTATTATTTACGGGCAGCTCTACTTCCAAAGGACAGCTGTGGACCTGAAACAGCTGATAAACACACAAAGAGGGCGAGCTTTTTCATCTGAGCCAGACGCTGATTACAGATGACACAAGACATGGAACGTAATCACAAGCACGCTATCATTTGATGCAATCTCATGTCTCCAATGCATTGCAAACACATGGTTGTGACACCTTTGCTCATCAGGTCTGCCTGGCATGGTAATTACCATTTTGCTGGAACATGAGCTTTGGGGGCCAGTTTCAGGGGGAGGCAGGCTGGAACTTTTAGGTCACAGAGAACAAGGACTTCAACTCCAACACTTCTTGAAGTGAGGGTTTTGGACGTTTTTCACACGTAAAAATGGCTGGAGTGACAGTTACAAGGCAAACTGACTTGAGCGGGACAAATAAATGCTCAGTAACAAGGTCGGCACCTGCTGAAACACATGTCAATCAGTCGTTAAACACTGACTCAGGCCCTTTGGGATAAGTCTTAGTAAAGTGGTTAACAACTTTACGACTGTGACGTGCGCTGGAAGGCATCGGCTTCTCCGACCTATCAATCAAAAGACACCAGCTGTGAGAAAAAAAAGCTACTCTACGGATTAGCACCACTGGAGTTAACTGGTTCTCATGACGGAGGTCACACCGGACGATGCCGCGCTGCACAAACTGACCTGAGAGAGGCACAAACCGAGGAACTGGCAAAAGATCTGACGAGCAAATCTAATGACCACTAGTCACCTGCATTTAGAGAAGGAAAAACAGACACCCACGCCCGCTTCCTTGCTCCTCAAGGGCATCTGGAAGCGCAAGCTGCACCAGACATCAAACACTAGTAATGAGAGCAATTGGGAGAAGGTGTGTCCAGGAAGTGAGGGGTGTGAAGAGGTTGTAGAGAGGGAGCAGTTGGGACGAAGTACAGGGCAGAAAGTTAACCAGGTAACATGGCTTTAGTGAATCAGGTCACCAACGGCTCATCGCGCAGCATCATGAAGGATGGACACTTTGCATGGATGAGAATCACAGAAACTACATGCGGTCACAGGCAGAAATGTATACGTGAGTCACAGCTTGAGTCACAGAATTTAGTCAATTTTAGCCTAATTCTAATCTTAGTATAAGTAAGTAATGGGATCAAAGTTGGCACCAGAGTTTCCCCTTAAAACTGAAAAATAGAAGTATTAATGTGCTACTTAAACAATATTCCTAAGTTGCAAAAAGCAAATTTGCACATCAACAGAATGGAAATCAAATGTGCATCATTCCTAAGCAAAACATCCAATCAGGAGACAGACTGGCATTCTCTGATGCCTTTATACTGGCAAACAATGTGCGTGCTACTTCATCCCAAATGTTCTTTGAGAGCTTCACTGATTAGTATTCACTCATCAGCACAACGGGTCGTGGGCCATCAAGTGTGTTTGTGAGTTAAAACAACGGGGTCAGGCTAAAAAGGTCGTAGGTTTAAACCTTGCCCCGGGAAACAGTTAGAGGTCAGGTGTGTTTGTTTAACGACGGGCAGAGTTTAATCACCAGTGTTTGGAAGGACTGACATCCAAGACATTCCATCTAAGAAATGCATGATTTTTATAACATTCCCCCTCTTTATTTAGGCTGTTAGCTGTGATTGGTAACAAATGCAAATCATTTCCACTGGTCATTGTTACACTGTTAATTTTCCAGCCACTTCATAAACAGAAAATGATTAATACAAAACTAATATTTCTCTAGACAAAATATATCCAAAAACATTTTATCTACCAAGAAAAGAAAACCTGGTGAAAAAAATAATAAATATTGTGAGAAAGATGTTTTTTTAATTGACCAGCCAAACTTTAGACATCACATTCTTTTTCTTAAAAAATATATTGCTAAAATATACTTCGTAAGGTTTCTATCTGGCACACTGTTCTCCAGTGTAGTACAGTAGCTGCCAACCAATTAATTCAGAGTGAAAAAAAAAAACAACCACAATTTGTCTGAGGAAATGCAGTCAGTTCATACCTTAGTCTGTGGTTTAACCACAGATCCTGATGGTTTTCCTGCAGGGCCGTTCTGTTTGACTGGAGTCTTGTTGAGCTTCTTTGATTCACGACCCTGACAAATCAAAGACAGAATATCCTCAGTGTCAACATCTTAACAAATCACGTATTTGTCATGTCAAAGTTTGTAGATGTAAATTGATTCTTTATCAGTTGGATCATAAACTTTTATGAATTCCACTGGTTAAAAGTTAGGGATGCACCGGTCTGACTTTTTCAGTCCTGATACCGATACAAATACCAGGGCTTTGCACATTATCATCATCTGATACTGCTGCAGTAATACTGCTGAAGCTATACTAATAATGAGGTCTATACATCACCACAGCATGTGGCAGAGACAGAAGGTTTGACTTTAAAATTGGTCACAAAAAACAAATGAACACATAGATAGAAATGGATAGATGATAATTTGTTAATTATTGTTAAAATAAACTGCAAAGGACTTAAATAAACAATTAAAATAAAGCACCAGTTGCCATTTGGAACAGAATTTAAAACACCTGGGCCCAGAAGGTTTAGGTTCAAATCCACCAGCTGGTATACTATTCCCTAATACAATGCGTACTCTTGGCTAATTCAGCATGCTCTTCTGTTGCTCCCGCTGATTGGCTCATGCATCGTAGCATCTCTCAACATCTCCCCTTGTCTGCTGGCCACTCTCTCGTTCACTTCGCTCCATTATACAATTCTACTGTTGTATATAATTGTGTGGGAAAAATAATACAGTGTAGGGAGGGTTGATAACAGTGTGGGGGAGGTTCATAACGGGTAAATATATACGGAAATAAAATCATAACTATCTCACCTCTACTTTGCGATTTTTCCCATTTCTCGTGGGTTTTGGAACGCAGCTACCGTGACAGGAGAGTGACCACCGTATTTACCCATGCGTCCTCTATACACTTACATTATATTTACATTAGACACCACTTTTTCTTGTGTTTACAGCATGTCTTGTTGTACAATGACAATGAAGGCTTTGTATTCTTTGTCAACTGGCATCGAACGCAAACGCAAGCCATTTTTTGTCGACTGTCCAAAAAGTGACTCGTTTCTAATTAGATTCTGTCCCAGCACTGAATACATTTAACAATGTGCAGCTGCCTGCTGCTTCATTGGAGTCTTAAGTATCACAGGAGGAGCACTTGGCCCTCGGCTATTTTTATATTATCAGATATGGCACGCCTTTAAAACAGTTTCAGCTCACTATAGTAAATAAAAACAAATGTTAGATGAACATCAGAAACCTGTGGCTGAGATTAACAGTTCATTAAGCTGTGCCATGACTAATCTTAAAAGCTCAACAACAAAGGATATGGAAGTGTAAATTGGTGGCCAGATTTTGAATCAGTATATTGTGTACGCCGCTCACTGGGACTCTAGAGAAGCTGTCATGTTGTTTTCCAACTTCCCGTATCAAAGCACTAATTATCAGGCCTCTTTTATGCCTGACAAATTATAATTGGCATTTTTAACCTAATGTGAACCACATTTGTTCAAGTGTTTGCATTTGTGCTTGATTTTCTTCAAAGTCGCTTGCCGTGAGCCGCGCACATCTTGCGCTCACACCCTGTAAGATGGTAATTATATAAATATGGCACATGCAGGCTCCTTTTGAAGCATTTACCAGCAAGAATCACAGCACAGATATGTCATATAAATACTGGGAAAGTTGCGGCATTCATTCTTTAGAAATAAATAATTCATCCCTATTATGCGCCATGCTACAAAACGAAGACATTGATGCAACAACAACAGGAATGACACGTGAGCATTAGGATGTCAAATGACAGGGGAAACAAGATACGAACTTGGTAATTTCTCACTGATCAGACATTTAGTGGCCCAATAACCCGTCATTGTTCTCCACTTTGGAGGCCTTCGCCTCAGGTTTCCACTGCTCTCAGGCACCTGTGTAATTACCATGTAATAGCCCAGGCAAGTACCTGCATTTCCTGAGCGCCAGCCCCTGCCTTGCAATCACTGGTAGTCACCTTGGAATGAGCTGGAAGTGTAATTGCACATGTTGACATAACTGCTACAAGACAATTATACATGTAACGTCCTCCAGTGGACAACTGGTCAGACAAGATACGAGAAACTCTACCAATATTTGTGCTCCTACTTTACAGAAAGAAAATCCATCTAAACCAGCTCAACCCCTAGTGGCTGAACTGTCCATAGGTATCACTTTGAGTTTGAAAGGTTGTTTGTCTCTATATGTTGCATATGGACTGTCCAACGTGTGCCTTGGCCTTGAATGATGACTGTGGGAGTGACTTATGGATGGACATTATGAATTAACCTGCCTGTATCTGTATCTATGATGACAGAACTGGTGTTGACTATGACTTCAGAGAAGGAATAACATCATTTTATGGGTTTTTTTATTGTCTATCCTTTACTTCACTGCAATTTCTATTGGTATTTTAATGAATGCTATTTTTAATTGCAAACTCTGCAAATTACTCATTAGTTTTTCCTTTGATGCATTTAAAAAAATGGCCTAATGTTTATCAGTTATTATTTTTTATTTTAACTTAAGCTAAATTCACTTTTTCTGTGCCGTGACTGGTACAGCAATGACATCTCTCTGTTTTTTTACGGACGCTGAGTGATAAACAGACCTAAAGTCTACTGTAGTACATTTGTGAGTTTTGTAAAACAGAGGAATTCCTAACTGTCCCGTATGTTACTTTACTTAGAAGGTTTTAAAAAAAGCCCAATCTGGCCAAACATTTTGGACGTAAATGTGTTTGTCATATACTTGACACACTTGCATGGCCACTTGATCATAGTCCTGAGTTTTACAGAAGAAGCGGTTGGGTCTTTGGTGTTTTTTTTTTCAAATCTGGCTTCCCGTGAAAAAGGTTTGGACACTTTTGTTTTAAAGCTTTATTTTTAAGAGCCAACAGAAAACCTGGACATTCCCGGCAGTTTTTAACCTAACGTTGCGTTGTCACATCATAAGCCCCCTACTATTAAAACGACTCCCTCTCGAGCTGCAAACATACAGACACCAGATGATCATTAGCTCCACCCTACAGGACGAAAGAATCAAACTTGCTGGGGACCAATATCTATGCAGATGGTGTCAGTTTAACATCACTGCGCTGGAGGTTAAACATGAAAGCTCTCCAGTTCAACTTCAAATGACAATTTTTCTGCCAAATAAAGTCGAGTCCAGGCCGATGACATCACAGGAAAATATGACACAGCCTTCTGTACGTGGGAGGTTAAAATGTCACTGTATCATCCTTTGTAATGGTCTGTCGTCAGACTTGTGTTTGGATGAAAACCTGATTAAAGAAGTTCGTAGGTTACAGACTGGCCACTAAAGCAGGGCTCCAGTCTTTAAAGTGGTGGTCTGCCCAGTGTTTTCCACTGGCACGATGACTGGACGTGTGACCACATTAACCCACATGCATTCATCCTTGATTTTTTTTATTTTTATCTGCTCCATCACCCTTGGTAAAAGGCCACTTACACTACGACAACTGAGTTTACACTAGCACAGAGAGACAGTGAGAGAGAGCGAGAGAGAGAGAGAGAGATAGAGATAGAGAGAGGCAACTCAATGTAGGTTCTGCTGATGTTGACCTGTGGTGGTGAATTTTCCTTTGCAAAAGATGAAGAAAGAAAAATACCATTTGACTATTCCTGAGCTCAGTATGTTCCATTTAAAGTGTCAGCATTACAAATGAAATGTTAATTATTTTAGTCTCAGCTTGAACGAATAAAACAGCGTAGTTAGAGGTTCCCCAGATCAGAGGAAGGCATCGGAGCTGCTAGCGTAAACTTTACCACTTGTTTTAATTGGTGTGTTTTCAATGCCAACATTGGCACAGGTGGACTGTTCTGCTGCCAACACACACAAAAAAAAGATTCAAATAATTGTATAATCTGAGGCAGTGACGTAAGATTAACTTGTACTGGCAAATAAATGAGATTCCAACATATGAATACAAATCACTTGTAGACCGCACGCCTCAGGATCTTATTTTCACTTTTGTGCCAAATGTTACCATTAAAGGTAAATTTGTTTACCTAATAACACCAGAAGAGGAGAGAAGATACCCAAGTTATGTATAATTAAAGTATTAGAGATCAATCTGGATAAGAAACAACAAACGTTAGAGTTTGTTGACCTTTTCCCAGGTCAAATCCAAAACTTTTTAACATCCATATTCCAAACGGTGCAGCACCTGACAGTTATTAATCTGATCATCTAACAAGATTGTCTATTTTATCTTTATTATTTATTAACCATTTCAGAGCCAAACCTTTTTATGCTTTGTAGCATAACATTACTATTTATTTTATTTAAGAAAGTTCTAGGGATCGCTGTATATATACACGTTTATTTATTTATATGCTTAGTTTAATTATAGATTATGCCACAGTTGACATTTTGACCAGAGAACCTCGGATTTGCTCAGGTACAATTTTTGAGGGTCTTAGATCTTATTCCAGAAAGAATGTCAAAGCTGGGACATTTTAATTTCAAACCTGGACTTTGCATCTGAAACCCATTTCAAATGGTATTTGTCTGTGAAGTACAAATGCAGTTTTCAAGTACTTCTAAGCATCTCTTACAAATGCAAGCAGTTCTAAAAAAAATCATGAAAAAAAACACACAATTAAATTTAAAACACGTGCCAACACTGCAAGCATTAATATAAACTCTGGCTGAATGTGTTTACATTACCTCATGGCCAGAATGAGATTGAAGTATTTTGTTATCATGTTAAGTAAATGACAAAAAATGTAAAGAATTGGGGCCTAAAGAGTGAAACTGGGTGAAGATCAAGATAAAAAGAAGGAGGTGAAGAAAAGGATTAAGGCTGCAGAGAAGGAATGGACGAGGTGGGAGCGCAGGGGTGCGGGGGGAGTGGGCTGGGGGGATTGGACGAGAAGACAACAGAATAAATCAACAGGTGACAGAAATGCTCAGCTGTCATCTGACCCTGAGGCGAGGATCGGAGCTCACGTCGCAGGTATGCGCATCTGCCCTGCTTTGATCTCCTGCCTGGCACAGTTTGCACTTAGTTTGTGTTTAAAGAGCAAAAAAAAAAAGAAAGAAAGAAAGAAAGAAGAGTAAAAATGAGGTAGATACACACTTGCAGACACATACGCACACTTGCAAGTGATTGTGGCAGCACGCAAAACAAGTGTTCAAAGGCCTGGGCCAGGTGCAGAGCTGAAACGGCATGAGAGACGATAAAAAGGAGTAATCATATTAACAGTGGGATGACAGAGGGACGAAGATATGCAGGCTTACAGGAAAATGGGGGAAGAGTGCATGTGTGTGTGCACGTGTGATGCATTGTGTCATTTAAAAATGGTGTTGAGATGAGATACATTTTGTTAATGTTTGCAAAATCAGTACAAGCTCATAAATGTATCCCTGGACTGTGTGTAAGTGCTTCCAGGTTTATGTGTGTGTGTGTTTGCAGGATAACACAGTGCTGTCTTGTTGGTGAGACGGTGAGAATTCAAGCAGATTACAGAGGAGTAATCCGATCATTACGCCACGCAGACCCTGTGTTTTACTAGCAGAAAACAGGTGGCTACATGAGCCAACAGGATGAAAACGTTCCATGTTTTGTATCATAGAAAAAGGTGGACGGTCAGTGAGTGCAGGGATGGGACGGGCCTGCAGAAAATAATGAAACGCTGCAATAGCTTGCAGGCCGTGGGAGTTTTAAATGATGTGGTAGAAACATATGGGGGAGTGGACAGAGCTGAGCAACAGGAGAGACATTTCTTGTTTTGCAAAACAGAGCTGAGGGCAGGCCCTTGGCTGCCCTGACACCTAGTGGACAACAGTGCTGTAAGAAGACCAGTTTTAATACGCTGTTTTAATGTTTACTCTTGGTCAGAGGTTTTTTATCATCACTTCACCTTTTAGCTGCTTTTGTTCAAAGACTCAGATGAAAATTCCTGATGTGTTCATGACTGAATATGCATGAACAACACATTACTACGTATTTGTCAACACTGAGCATGTAGCTTCACTCTCCTCTGAAGGTCAAGCCTTAATTGCAGTTTAAAAACCTTGGTCTGAGAATCAAGTAATGATAGAGCACTGTTTTTTAAATAAATAAGACGTGTAGCTCAGCCAACACTTTTTAAAAATAGTTGTTTTTTATTTCCATTGACAAAATCTAAATTAAGCCCCGTTTTGAAACGTGCAGACTTTACAGATCAACACATCAAGGCACAAATAATGGTAAAATTGTGTCTCATTCACATCAACAAAGATCTAATCAGTGATATGTAAATTACAATCACCTGTCAGGTACATTTTTACAGTAAACATTTACAAGACGAAGGGAGTGCTGTCTATTTCATGTGACTTATGGCAGTACTTATTAAAGGTTCTGTGATAATTGTTCCTGTTCTTAGTGTTCAGGACAATAAAAGTTGTGTCACATAAGATACAAAGCGATGGCTTAACTTGCCAGCCAAGTTGATTCCAAGGGAATGATATTTTGAAGCTACATACGTTTTTTATGCATATGTAAATGCAAAAAAAAAACAAATATGAGAAATACATGAATTCACTTTTGTATAGAATAGGATAAATAAAACAGAATAATGTTTTGTGCAGAAAATGGTTGGCTAAACATCTGGAAGAGGACATGCTTGGATTACAGTCTTACCTTTTCAGGCTCCTTTGCAATTTTCTTTTGAGGCTTCACTGCATCGTCATCACTGTCGTCGTCGTCATCATCACTAAAGAACAGAAATAAAACACATTTTAACAGATATACTTACTAATGTGCTATAATAGTATCTCATTATAATTGGTTTATGTATTTTTCTGCAACTTAAAAAGTTCAATTAGAAAACAATAAACCTTACTCATCATCATCATCATCACTCTCTTCATCTTCATCATCATCATCAGAATCCATCTTTAGTTTTTTCTGCAAGTGAAATAAGTCCAATGGGTCAAGAGTAACACAAAGGGCCTTCAGCCTCAGACAATTTTTATTTCTTATTTATTTATTTTTTTATACAAAAAATACAAGCAGTAGAGCTCTCATTAGGAGTGATTTCAGTGTTATACCGATAGAAGCTTCTTCCCCGACATCAGACTTGCAGGTCTCTTTACTGGTGATGTGTTGTTTTCTTCTTCATCCTCTGAGTCTTTGATATCTGCAAGGAAATCGATGGATTAAGTACATTTCAGTTGATTATAGTTCTGCTATAGCCGTATATCTGCTGTTACATCAATACTCACTGACAAAATGCTGACCACTGATGTGAACCGGTCCAGAGCCAGACTGAAGACGGAAGGTGACAGGAGGAGTGATCTCAAATCCACCTAAAGTCATCTGGACAAAACAGGAACAACTGTGGGGGTTTTTTTGTTTTTTTTTTCACTGTAATGCAGTGGTGGACTGACCACTCTTCCCACATCAATGCATTTAGAACTTAGGCTGGGAATCGATTACAATTATAAAATGTTTCTATACAATTATTGACATCAATTATCTCTCATTAATTTTCACTGTGATCAAAAGTAAAATATAATGCAAATAATATGCAAAAATTATATTAAGATTTCACTTACACCAACAAAGTAGTTTAACATTTTTATCATTCGATGATGTCTTGGTCATTGAGCAAGTGTAAGTAATTTTTTGGAAGCACATTGAATGCACCATGCATAGAACCACTGTCTTTACATAGATTTTGTAATTAAATGAATAAGCCGTCATCCAAATAAAGTAGAGCACTGCCAGTGCTGTTTTTTGACTTACCGATGGCAGGACAGAAGGCTTAAGGGCAGCCAGCGGCACTTTGGTTGTCTTCCCATCAAACGTCAGACCCTCCACTTCCACCATGTGGAACTTATCCTCAGCCTCAGCTCCAAGACAAACCTGCAACAACATCACACAGAAGTGTCTACAATGCAGCCACAGCATCACCAGAATAAAGGCTAATTCTTATATAAATAAAGCATGTATTGTTTACAATTATATAAAAAAAACAGTGCATCCAATATTTCCTCACGTTTTTACTTATTCCTTCTGTTTCACCATTGATCCTCATGTCAACCTGGGCTCCCAAGCCTTTGCCTCCAGCCCATAGTTACTTCCACTAACAATATAGATGTTATTAAAAGGTTCTTATTCATTTCTCTGTATATGCTTGCAATATGTTTATCAAAGCAAGGTCTAACATATTAATGACATTCTGTCGTTCTAATTGCAGTGTTAGGCGCCTGTTTTCTTACTGCTTTGAGTGACAGCTGCTGCTCAGTATCGTCGTCATCTACGTCAACTTTGAACTCCCGTTTGTTCGCTTTCAGTGTGCAACCTGGTGGAAAATGAAACAACACGTGCAATGGGCATCAAACAGTACATTTTGAGTCTTAATTTATATGCAATGTTTAGTAAAACACATTAGATACAAGTAGATCGGAGATTCTGCTGCATAAACGCAGCGGGCTTTGCTCTGCTGAGCTAACAAAAGAGTGGAATTGGCTGATTACTGATTACACTTTAGCCCAATTTTATTCACCTATTAAAGGTTACAAAACTACAAATGCATGATTTTTAATCATAAAACGTGATTGTGCAACCAGCAAAACTAAGATCGAATCAGCATAAAGGAGCTCACCGAACAAATACATCTGTGGACGGCTCAAATCTGAGATATTGTCCTCCATCTTTGCAGTGGGTGGCAGAACTTCCGTAAACAGATGTAACTGAGCCGTCGCTTAGCCAATCTAAAATTGCAACGTCATGGACTTGTGAAGTATTTGGACCAATGAGGTTTGTGAAGGAGGCGGGAAAGAAAGAACATAGAGAGAATATATTTTTTCGGAATGAACGCATGATGGCGGTATTACTTTAATTTTAAGTAGATAGATAGATAGATAGATAGATAGATAGATAGATAGATAGATAGATAGATAGATAGATAGATAGATAGATAGATAGATAGATAGATAGATAGATAACAGTAATTAACAGTGGAACATTCAAGGACTCAAGGACTCAAGGTATGTTATTTACATTACAACACGTTAGACATGGGAGGAACCAGTTCAAAGAAAGAGGAAAGTGTCGATTATGCAATGGAGACAAAAACAATTGTCCCTTATGTTTACCTTTTTATGTGCTGTTTAAACCAAATAAAAGAGGCCTTTGGTCAGTAATATTAAAAGTGGAGCCCAGGGGGCAGTTGTAGTCTTTGAAGACTCTTCTGTGGTTCTTTAAAATAATAATGATGAAAACAGACAGGTATTATAGTACTTCCCCTGGACAGCACCTGCCATTTTAAATTTGCATGAAAAATAAACAGTGTTCAGTATTAACTTAGTCATGTAATGGCAATGAAAGCAATGGTCGCTTTGTTGTTTAATAATGTGTATTTGTAAAATATTTTAATATAAACTAAATGTACCAATAATTTGTAAGTTTTCATAAATTAAATAGCACTGTTTAAAATGAATGGTTGGTTACTTAAATACGAACAAATACAAAGGTCTGATCCTTGTCAATCAGTTTAAGGTGTGGATGCTTTCATCATAAATAGCTGAAATGTTCTTGTGAAGTCTCAACAGAGTTGATACCTCTGCAGCTTTATTTAATGTGTGCCTCTATTAAGACAGGTATTGAGTCACAGTGAGGCTCAGTACCAGTATAAACTGAAAGAATTGAGTTGTCTTCATGCATGCCTGAAAGCTTTAATGTGTCACCCGCTGCCAGGACACGTCCGCACATCCGTTCTCACGGCTGACACATGACACTGATGAACGTGGACTTGCTCAACACTTTTGTTCACATTGGCAAAACATTCCTGAAGATAAGGAGATGTGCTTAATATTTATCTGAATACCTGTGTTAGTACTAGCTTTTCATCCTCTTTTGATAATCTCACAGTATGTGTAAGTTGTTTTGTTTTTCTATCCAGTATATGTACTGGTCAGGAAACATTTGAGTCCTGACTTTTCTATCCTTAGATGTGTGGACCTCACTGCGTACACCTGTATGTGTGTGAGCTTAAGTTTAGCATAGACACGTGTGTAGTGAAAGAAAAAAGAGTGATGACAGTAGCAGACGAGAAGAACATGTCATCAAGTTAAATAACTTCTAAAGACACGGTCACGCCATCGGAACGTTGACAGATATCCTCGTTCCCCACTCGACTCAGATGGAAGTGACTCAATGATACTACTTCTAAAAAATAAAAATAAAAAAAAATTAAGGATTTTTTCAATTATGGAAACTTTTGTAGATCTGGAATTCAACTGGTGTTCAAATACACAAAATTTAAATTTATATTTTACAAGGAATTTTGTTTCATGGAAATGTGATGTTTCCCAGAAGTGGTAAAGAAAAGGCAAATATACTTCAAAATAGGGCAGTAGTTTACAATGGATGAACACATACCTAAATGTTAACTAAATACGTTAAAAAAATCAAAATTAAGCACATGAAGAACTAAAACACAAGAAAACAAGTCAGACTAAAAAAAAAAAAAAAGAAATCAAAAGATCAAATGGTCAAAAGACCTGAAAGAAAAATTAAAACATTTATAATTTTATGTCAGTTGAGACATGGCTTAAAGCAAATATTACATTATACAAACAAATAATAACAGAAATGATAAAATAAGAAACATATTTTATATTAAATATTTTAATAACAATCAGATGAAATTACATCTAAAAGCTCGATAAACTATAAAAAGAAATGGGTTATTATAGGTATCAAATTTGTAGGTAAGCCTGTTATTCTATATATGTATATGTACATATATTTATTTATTTATACACACACACATACACACAGTAAATACATGTGTTCATCTGTAGCCATTGTAATTGAATAATTTTCATGCTCTTTCAGTTTAGGGAAAAGAGAAAAAAACAGATGGAATTGGGTCATAACCTATTTTCAGTGTACAGTAAATTTAATATGACACCTTTTAGGTTTGGTTAAAGTTTTTAAGTGAAATTTTGAAGCCTACTACAGATCACAGCCTGACAAAGACATGATGATAAAGCTCGTGAAAGCTCGTGGAGGCGCCCGAGAGACTTGTCTTATCATGTTTTAATTTTTAAAATTAGACACATTTTGAAAATATAATCACTGTCTTTGAAATTTTTGATTCACCCTTGTATATAAAATGTAATAATTTGAAATTTGAAAAAAAAAACAAAAAACAAAAAAACAAAACTAGAATATAAGTTTATATGCCAATATAAAGCCAGTTCTCATTTGGGAAAATATATGTTTGTGTTGCAAAATAAAGAAATAATGTAAAATTAATGTTTTCCATCCAATAAAAAAAAGCTTTAAGTTTAAAGTCAACAAAACATTTTATTTAGTTTTATTTTTATTTTTTAATGCAATCCGTTTTCTTGAAAACGACTGAATTAAAATATCTGAGACACTCCGTTCCACTTACTGTATTTGACGTAGTGATGAAGTTAGTTTTTTTTTTCAATTACAAAAATTCCAAATTCTGTCCAGAACTTTCTAGAAGGCAGCGGTTATTAATCAGCTGAATCAAACAAACTGTCTGTGAGAGGATGTTTAAGCCCAGAAGTATGAAGGTCTTTTGTCAACACATCCTCTCATGTCAGGGCCTCATCAGTGAAGTTTGGCACAGTCAGAGTTTTGGCTCCTTTCCTCCAAACGTCTGACAACTAGAGCAGCTGCTCTTGAACAGACCTATGTTTCTGTGATTATCACGACAGGCAGTAGTCATGTCATTGGGCTACTATCTGCCCTTTGATAAATGAAAGTAATTAAAATAACCTAACATGTTGTCAGGTGGACTTTACAGCTGTGGGGAATAATTGATCAATAGCAGATGGGTCATTTACTAATTTTTTGACAATTGTTATCTTAATTGATGCATCTGTTTGAGTGGGTTTTTTTTAACATCTAGTGTAAATATGTTTCATTTTTTTAGGAGTAAGATTTGTTTTTGCTCTTGTGGAATGTGTTTCTTAGTCATTGTTATATTTATATGTGGTAATCACTATTTATCTAACTTTTATATATTCTGTTATGTTGATATTTATGACAAAATTATCTGTGATATTTTGTTGTTTTAAAAAAAAGGTTTTAACTATTGTAAAGCTATTGTTTGCCAACTTTCTGCTTTTGTGACATTTTTTTAAACCTTACTAGCAGTAGCTAGCTACCTTTGGTTATGTCGGTAATACGTTTCAATTTTTGGTTTTATTTTTACCTTGTAGTTGTAATTACTGAAGCACCTTTGAATATTGACCATGTACCAGATCAACAGTTATGAAATAGAACATGTCCGACTGAATATGGAGGGTGTGTGTGCTACGGCTGCCTGATGACCAACATTATAAACTGTATCACATAATTTAGACGTCAATCGACGTGAAGCTACGAGCTACAAGTGGAGCCGAGAAGATGTTATCAGTCAGTGTGTGTGTTTAGGAATTTAACTGGATTACGGAGGTTTCAACGGCTGCTTCACAGACTTAAATACTTAGTGTGTTTCTCAAGAATGGAAAAAGTGATGGAAGCAAACGTTGCATGACAGAGAGCACAACACAGACTGAATACTTTTTGTTGTTGCCCTCATTAACTTGATAGGAAGTCTGATATACATCCAGGTTCTGGCACTTGCTCATCTTGTGTGGTGACATTTTATTGGATAAGAACAGCGCTCTGCGGTGGCGACAGAGTGGGAGTGAGAAAAAAAAAAACTACAGAGCCATGACAGCAGTTGAGAAGAAAAAAAATCTTTAAGCACCTGTAGTCAAACACAATGCATGGTTTTGAAAACAGAAAAAGGCAGGAATGTTTGCAAAATGGGCCAAGTCACGTCTTCAAGGCAGAGAGACAGAGAGATGAAAGAAGTGGCGAAGAGGGGAGGAAATGGGGGTTGAGCAGGCGTCACCTGGAGAACTGCCTGATACTGACAGGATCCCAACCAGGCACAGCGCCCTGAAAATGCCAGCTAACTTCCACTGCTGCTGCTGCGGTGTTTCAGCCAAAGCCCAGGGTTGTTGAGGTTGGATGCAGTCGCAGACAGCTGTTTCCATCCAGATCATCAACTCGCTCTAGGATCAAGCAGCCAGATGTCAGTGATGCATAAACAAAGGGCAGAAATCTTAGCCCAGCACTTTGTAAAAAAAAAAAAAAAACACAGAAAGGCCAGACAAGGAGCAGCGTGATGTTCATCATACTTCATACCAATGCAGTGAATTTGAAGGGTGTGGTTTTACGCCAAGGTCACTTCCTGTGATTTCGATGTTGATTGAAGGCTCATTTACAAACAAAGAAAATAAATGATGTGTTTACTGCTCTTTCAGATGGCTCCTTTTTGTTATGACTTGGCTGATGATAAGCATTTAGATGATAGGGCAGAGGAAAAGATAACGTGTTTATCACTGTCTGGTGTCTAGGTGGCCGTAAGCAAAAAAAACAATAATATTTTTGTTAGGGTACCAATATATGGCGGGGATGTCATGAATTATTTAAAGTTTTTAAGGATTGCACGACATTTTATCAAGTTTATGTAGAGCGCAGAATTGGTATTAGGAAGGTGCATTCTATAACTACTGTTTCTATTCTGCTGATGTGTTGGAAAATTGTGATTTTAGGAAAATGGCTGTAGACAACATTTACTTGTCCAAGCTTCTGACTTGGCTCCTGGGGCCTTTATTTGCAACCGCGTTGTCGGTTGACCAGTATGTAAATAGTAGGTGTTTCTGTGAGCATCAGCTGATGAGACTGGTGTTTAGCGAACAGTCAGTGTAAAAATGCAGCCATAGAAGTCCAGCTTGGCTTCTATGGCCCACATTTAAGTAAGTCAAAATGTTAGCTTAGAAAAGCTAAACATGGCCAAAATATATATATTTTTAAAAATAATAATATATATAAAATATGCATAGCTGTAAGTTAGCTTTCACATGCCTAAACTGAGTGGTGATTTGGCCCAGAGGCAATGTCTCTGTCATTGGTTTGGAACCCCAGGGTTCACCTCCTGGACAAGTT